ACTTACGTGGTAACGATGTATTGAAGAATTTGCGCCAGCGTGTCGACGTTTCCTCGTAAAGCGTTTATTGTTCCTTGATATTCGATTAACCCTGCCGCTTCTGACTGTGTGCGGTGGCTGCTCGGTCTCGTTGTCCGACTCGCGTGTGATTTCGTACGGGACTTCCCTCGGCTAGTGCTACGTGAGTCGAAATAAAAACCTAGCTCCGCAGTGTCGCGATAGGGTATTGCGATCGATGATCGATCCAGCGTTGAGGGGATCGTGCAAGAAGAGGCGCGTTGATCTCAGCGAAGAAAAGGGACGAGGAAAGCGCGACGGTTTCCGGACGGTAAACGCACCACTGTCGCGCGCACTCAACTGTTTGCCTCACGCGGTCGTGACTGACTGATAAAAGAAGCTTTAGTTCGTTTGTCGGCACTTCTACCGTTCATATGCATGGATGCGATGTGCTGCTGTTCGAACATACGCACGTGCGCTATCTCGACCGACGATAGTGGGAGAGCTCATTGTAAATATATCATAGATCGTAGATCATTGATTCGCGACATTGCTCGCGAGCAACTCTTGCTTCAAACGGTATCGACCCAGGCGATTCTTGGCTTCTTCTCCCGCGTTTCCAACGACTTTGATCCTTATATATATGTACGCTGGTACGCGTAACAAGTGATAATGATTCGAGAGAGAGAAAAAAAAAAAAAAAAAAAAGAAAAAAAAGAAAAAAACTGGAATTTGATTAAGACGCAACGCTCCTGTTACGAAGTAAAAATGATCGTGAGAGGCGTAATCGGTGTTCTTCAATCGCTTCCGCTACCGATCCTTGTAAAATCGAGGTTGCCATCAATTTCATTTGCATCCGTGCCTGATCGAAACAAAAAAGCGAGTTAATCTAAATTACTGCATTCGCGTGCTTCCATTTGTTGCATTCTCCAATTATCGGCGAGGATCTCTATTATAATTCCTTTATATTCCAAGTAATATAACGTGCGCGATCGTTCAAGGTTAGATTGATTCAACTTTGGAAAGAAGAACGATTGCTGCTGGGAAATCATTCCTCGACGACCGAGCGCGAATATCGTGCAATGTCAAACGAACCGTTCATTGAATATCATATGATCGATCGAATGTTCCGGCACGGCCGAGAAGATGCATCCCACTACCATTTTACGCGTATCTCGTGTGATGCAAAGGCAATCGCACGGATGTAAAATCCGTCGACACCGTGACGCGATCGTTTTCAGGGGAATTTCTCTCAACAATTGATATTCCGTGCGTGTAGTTACGCGAGCCAAATGGGATTTACCTTCGTTCTTTTCAATGACGTCACACTCTACGATTTCACGAACGAACGAGGATGTACCTAGTATGTGACACGCGGTATCTTAATGATAGATGGTATCGTCGAATAGTTGACAATTAGGCTCAGGTGATCCGTTGCAATAACTTCGTTCAAGAACTATTACCGAATGTAATTAAAGTAACGAATGTGAAATTAGTTCGCGTAAGTCGATGTTCTTCACACTGGAACTAGCAAAGTGGTCAAAGCGGCGAATTTATAATTTCGGTTAGAAATTTTATTCACGTCAAACAGTGTACGTTTACAGGTTCAAATGTTTTGATTTTGACGTCGACGTTTTGTTGCAGAGTGTTTTAAAAATTTGAAACGTAATGAAAAAACTTTTTGTTTCAGTCGTCGATATCTCCGGCGTTAAAGTTTAAAAAGAAGTGTATGGAAGAGATTAGAATTCACCTTGAACGAACCGCCGTTTCATTAAAAGCGAAAAAATATTCAAATTGTTTAGTTCATTATGCAGTCGGAATGAATATTTGAGGATAAGGAACCCTTTTTTCAGGGGCTTGTCATTAATCACAATTACTATATCACAACGCGAGTCAACTATTTCGATAATATTATCATTTTCCTCACCTTATATCTTCCAGTGTCAGAGTGATTTCATTAGATAGCAAGGAATATATCAGTCAGTTTGTGCAGAGTTTATTATTTAAAAAAAAAATCACACATGTATTTGACGCAACTTCATGCGATGCACGGTTGATGATCGAGTCCGACTCGTTCGAAATCACTTTTAACACGCCTGTTGTTGACACATTCTGACGTTGAAACGTCTAGAAACGCGATTCACGCATGCCTTTCGAGGGATTCGTAACCGGGTACGCGAGTCGATTGAGGATGATGAGAACGACGATTATACGAATACGATAACACAAAGTATAGGTCGAGTACGTGCCTTGATGTTTACATTTCAAAATACAAGTATCGTACAGTTATTTCATTTTCTTCAGTTAAAGGGATAACGTCGAAGCGATAAATGAAACGCGTTTTCTCGTGTTTTGCCAAAGTTTATTTGTCAATTTGTTTGTCAGTGAAGAATAATTTAAATAAATGTTAAATAAACGAATCTTGACGTTCGAGGATTATTCTCGATGTTGTTGGCACGTTCAAAATTTTAGAAAATTTAATTGATCTAGCCAGATAATCAGTTAATTCTCCTCGATATCGTTACCGTGACATAAACAATAAAATATTTCAGTCGCTACAGCTATCTCGACAGCTTTCGTTAATCTGAATACTACAGCGTAAACAAATTTTATAGCACCTTCATTGCTGGCTGTAAAACCAGCGTGGATCTCTTCCACGATTCGCGTGTTATAATCAGCTGTTATAAAATCTGTTGCACACCATCTGATTAGCAGCGATCTTCCATGTACTTGCTGTATTTCGTATTTTTTTTTATTTTCCACATTTTTTTTTTTTTTCCTGTCCGACTGAAGTGACACAAATGATATACTTCTGTTGCATTTATCTTATTGTTGCAATGCTATCACATAGTTTCTTGGGAACGTGAAAGATAGAAACTTCCGGTGTATTGTTTATCCCTAGATTTCAATACGATATTTTTTTTCTTCTTCTTCTTCTTCTTTCCTTTTCTTAACATTACCGCATTATTTCCCGGACAGTGGCAGTTACCAGTGATCTTAAATTCCAACGTGACCGTCGTTGGAAACGAATTACAATAAATTAAGGAAAACGTCCACGTTCGTTGGGTGTTCCAAAGAAATAATCCTAATTTATTCCTTATTGTGTTGCTTGTCATTCTCGTCAAGGATGATGTATTATAAAAAATTAATTTTCTTAATAGGATTTCCGTACGAGGAGGATAAAAAGATATTTAAGATCGTATCTCGACTTACGTACAACTTGGAATCTCGATTGCCATGTATTTCAGAGCGATATCATCGGAAAGTATTTTGTCTAATATTTGATCACGAGAAGTATACTCACTGCTGACCTTCAATCGATTGTTCGTCGAGAGTCTTGTTTGTTACAATGGACATTTGTCATTGATAATTGAGATATTACTATAATTATAAGAAACCTTTGTGTCGCGGGTGTCGCGAAAATGCATACGATACTGTAACATAAGTTCAGAAATAGGTAATTGTTATGTTTCTCATTGATCGTTAGATTAGTTAAGATATAAAAATGATTAGCGTGACGCAAACGATTTTAATGTTTGATTTTCAATTTTATCGATAATGATTACCTTGTTACTTTATCAAAATCTTTATCTATGTACTCTTGATTATAATTCCATCAGATTGATAACAAATCCGACCGTAATACCATTTAACTCAAAATAATTAATTATCGTTTCGTATACTGTAGTAGTATGAGTCGAAGGATTAAAAATTATTTAATAATTTTCTCATAAATTTTGATAACCTATAAAAGACGTACGACGATATGAATTGGTGTGTAATAAAACGCAATTAATTTTGCGACAAATTTTTTTCAATAGAAATCTTCACTGCGAAGGCTTTCGATCGACATAGATTTATAGATTAGGGATTATGTGATAAAATGAAACAACAGTGTTAATGATTATTAGACTATATTATTGGACGTATCCAACTATTCTTGACTAACAAATAATATTTATCGACGAACAACGAACCTCTATGAACTTACATCGTAATTTTGATTCTCGAATATTTTGATTCTTGCTCCTTCGATTTTTTTGTACCCGTGTTCCGATCGTCTGTCAGAACAATTGCTAACAAACATTTTAAAATAAATGCCAAACTTCGTTATAATGAACATTAATACAATAAAGTTGTTTAATGTGTCGCGTTCTCGATCTCTCTCGAACGTTTTAAAAGATATTTCTCGCTCGGTGGTAGAAACATTCATTGACAGGAATGTACAATAGCATTCGTGAGATATCGTATATCTAACTTATATAAAAGAACTTGTCTCCAGATGGAATTCGATCGTCTCCAGATTGTTCATGTTTGTGTATTAAATTCAAGGAATGAAACTGTGGTTTTATCGGTGTGCATGGCCTTCCATACAAGTCAGATATACTGGACACATTGCAAATTGCCTCTTTCAATCGTTTGACTCACAAACAGATACAACACCGCGTTTACTTCGATCCTCTCACATACATGTATTATTCGCAGTTACAAATACTCCACAATTTGTTCAAATCGCATTTCACCTCTCGCATGTTAGTATCATCATCTTTGTTCCTCGAAAAGAAAGTTCAAAACGTAGTATAAAGCAAGGTATAAATATTAAAACTTCTATCGTGTAAATACTTATAAATATATGTATTTAGATGAAAGCATTACATTAGGAACATTCGGTTTGCTGTATTCTAACGACGTTACGTTACAGCTCTCGCTTAAAATTATGGATCTCTTTTGTTCTTCGCTTTTTACCTTCTTCCTCCTTCTTTTTTTTTTTTTTTTCTTTTTTTTCTTTTAAGTTCTTCTGCTCAATAAAACATTCTATTGCGTAGAAAAGATAGTCTTCTATATTGTGAAAAAGTCTCGTGTTTTTCTCTTGCTGTGAGAAAAGTCGACGCTCTCATTATTTGCAAAAATAATAATTTTCGTATATTTTTGATTTTCCCGCAAAAAATACTGCAGTGTGCTCTTACTCTGTTTAACTCTGTTTATCTATTTTCTTTCTTATTTTTTCTTCTTCTTCTTCTTCTTTTGTTTCGTTGGTGCTGACTGAATGGCCGGCTTGAAAATTTCTGATCATATCAGACGAACGTAATTGTCTTCCGTTTTAACGTTCCTCGTCATATGTTCATAATTAGCATACTCGTCTGTATGCAATTATACAAAATGACATTGATTTCTTGCGATGACCGTTCGTTATGTACACACACACATAATTTGCGCACCTTTTCTCCCGTAAATATATGCATATATTTTAATAATTCGTCATCGAAACAGTGTTCTTTTTTTTTTTTTTTTTTACTTGTACTTGTGGTTCACCGAATAGATACATTCATTTTAATCACACTATTTTCACCATTATTCGCTAAGAGAGAAACAACTAGGGGACCCTGAATTGTGGTACTTATCGATCGTAAATTTTTTTTTCTTTTTTTTTTTTCTCTTAAATACTTATCGCG